TATTGCAGGTTTGCATATGGCTCTGACTTTAAACCAAACTGATTAGACTCATGATTAGAAATTTGGACTTGCAAAGGACTGCTAACAATAAATAATTTGAGATTGGTAAATTTATTATTTTTTCCTGTAATAAACAGGAAGTAGAGGCTTTAATGTAGCACTAAGCACCGATAATCATTGTAGGAAACTTTTAATGAATGTGTCGCCATTGGCAAATTTTTCAAGAGTTAACATTTAAGCTGGTAATGGCGATGTTGCTTCCAGGCATGTCTACTTTTTTTTTTTTTGCAAAAGCCAAAACCAACCAAGTGAGTGTAAAAACATTTTTGCGAATAAAAAAGTTTATTCCAATTTAGCTATTTCAATTAACCTTTTATTTCGATACTTCAAAATGCAATAATGAATAATGTGCATTATGTGGGACTGTTCATTAATTTAACAAAATTTAAAAGATTTTCAAGGAGCACTGCAAAAAATTGTTGAACATTTAACCTCTTTGATATGAACAGTGTCGGTAAAACGGTTTATTAAGTAACGCTTTACAGTGACTATGTTGCTTTTGCAGTAACTAGCACTGAAACAAATTGGTTTGTAAAAGATTTAAACATATAATAATAAGTCTACAGTTTCCTGGTGTAAGCTCTCCTGGCACACAGTTAGATTTAATCACCCAAACACTTCTCAAATGAACTGGGGAAGCAGGACAAGATACGTTAGATTCTTTTTACTTGCTGGGAGAGAACCAGCAGAGATGTCCTCAGTTACAATCTCCTACTGCTCTCTGAGGCGCCTCTTGTGTCTTCCTCACTCTTTATTAGAAAAAGGGAGTCCCTAGTCACAATAGACCACGCCGAAACTCTAGAGGACTTTGTGGGGAGTAAATTGCAGCGTGATACAGTGATACACATACATTTCTTCATGCAGGCAGGGACCTTGAGTTATACACATGAAAAACATTCAGTTCCTGGCACCTGCAAAGGAATACTTTCACAAGAGTCTACTAAAGATAATAGAAAGAATAAACAAGGTTAATACAGGATAAGATGAAATAAAATAGAATAGCTCCAACAC